ATGTGGTCTACCTTGACTTCAGCAAAGCATCTGACACAGTCTCCCACAGCATCCTCACAGCTAAATTGAGGAAGTATGGTCTGGATGATCAGGTAGTGAGGTGGACTGCGAACTGGCTGAAGGAGAGAAGCCAGAGAGTTGTAGTCTATGGGGCAGAGTCTAGTTGGAGGCCTGTAACTAGTGGAGTGCCTCAAGGGTCAGTACTGGGACCGGTATTATTTAATATATTCATCAACGATTTAGATGAGGGAATTGAGTGTACTATCAGCAAGTTTGCTGATGACACTAAGCTGGGAGGAGTGGCTGACACGCCAGAAGGCTGTGCTGCCATCCAGCGAGACCTGGACAGGCTGGAGAGTTGGGCAGGGAATAACTTGATGAAATATAACAAGGGAAAGTGTAGAGTCCTGCATCTGGGCAGGAACAACCCCAGGTTCCAGTATAGGTTGGGGAATGACCTGTTAGAGAGCAGTGTAGGAGAGAGGGACCTGGGGGTCCTAGTGGACGACAGGATGACCATGAGCCAACACTGTGCCCTTGTGGCCAAGAAGGCCAATGGCATCCTGGGGTGTATTAGAAGGGGGGTGCTTAGTAGGTCGAGAGAGGTCCTCCTTCCCCTCTACTCTGCCCTGGTGAGACCCCATCTGGAATATTGTGTTCAGTTCTGGGCCCCTCAGTTCAAGAAGGACAGGGACCTGTTGGAGAGAGTCCAGCGCAGGGCAACGAAGATGATTAAGGGAGTGGAGCATCTCCCTTATGAGGCAAGACTGAGGGAGCTGGGTCTCTATAGTTTGGAGAAGAGGAGACTGAGGGGTGACCTTATTAGTGTATATAAATATATAAAGGGGGAGTGTCATGAGGATGGAGCCAGGCTCTACTCAGTGGCAAACAATGACAGGACAAAGGGTAATGGGTACAAACTGGAACACAAGAGGTTCCACTTAAACTTGAGAAGAAACTTCTTCTCAGTGAGGGTGACAGAACACTGGAACAGGCTGCCCAGGGAGGTTGTGGAGTCTCCTTCCCTGGAGACATTCAAAACCCGCCTGGACACATTCCTGTGTAACATTATCTAGGTGTTGCTGCTCCAGCAGGGGGATTGGACTAGATGATCTTTCGAGGTCCCTTCCAATCTCCAGCATACTGTGACTGTGACACATTAGTGTAGAAGAGTATAAAAGTCCTGTTGAAAGCAGTACGTCCACTGGAAACCTGATCTCATCTGTGTTTTATTCCTGAGAAAAGTTAAGAAGAGAATTTAAAATGCACCATACTGCATCAAGTACACTCTCTTATTTTTCCTGACATAAACTTTTTACTGGCTTATAATGAAAAAGGATTAGAAAGGAGTGCTTTAGTCGATACATACTCCATTATATTAATCAATTACATAATTAGATTCAAAGTACTGTTCACCAAAGCACAGAGCTCAGGGCAGCCAGGAGGATCCCCTGCGCTCTATTTGCATCTGCAGTGATGATGCACAGGGTCTTCCCCAGCCTGCCTCAGCCCTCCATCCTAAACTAGATCTGTAAAAATCATAAAAGGGGTTCTGAAAGGCTTTTACAGTTAAGCTGGCAATTTTTCCATGGAAACTTGGATGTTAGAATACATGAAAGTGTTTAAGTTCGAATACATGCTGGTGTTTAAGAACTTAATATATCATATGGCCCTTAGTTTTTTTTTAAATAAGCAGGACTGAGGGATCCAAACGCCTTTGAGGACCTGAGCATGGGGTTTATAATATTTGTATATTTTCTACAATATGAATAGATCAGGAAAGTAAATCTGATGATTATAGTAGGATAATCACTGAACTTTGATAGATAAGGAGGTTTTTAGTTGCCTAAGAAATACTGGGCAAGCACTGTAATTCATGAACATAAATAAAGAATTTCATACAAGGTAAGAGCCTCCAAAACAAAAAGCCGGAGAAAAGCTGATGAGCCAAAGAAATCAGTAAGCTTTGATGAAAAAAGGGGTAAAAGGTGTCTTTCACATCTCTATATGAGAAAACAGAGTGGGGAATGCCTGTTCCAGTTTTCAGCCAAGCTAGACAGAAAAGAGTGGTGTCAGTAGAAAACAATGTGGCACCTGAGAATATAAATTGTGCCTTAATAGTTTGTTACTCTTTTAATGAGGATATTAATGCAGTACATATACTTGACTTCTGAAAATCTGGGACTTGTCATTTTATGCATATGTCTTTAGATACTGAAAAGCATCACTTTCTTCTCCATCACAACTGTGATGTGTTTGATGAAAAAACTAAAACTTGACTTTGACACATCCCAGACCATAGCAAAACTGTCTCTAAAGTGAGATGTTGCTGACCTAGCAGAAACTTTCCTTTAAGGAAAGTCTGATGCTTGAAAACAAAACCATTGAGCTTTTTGGATGAGAAAGCAGATGGCAAAACTGCTTAAGAGCTGTGACTTATGTATTGTTGGAATTTTTTACTTTGTGCCTAAACCAAGAACTGGTTGAAAGGTTTTTGTTTATGTATTCACAGGAAATGTAACTTTTCACTGAATAGAGAAATTATACAAAATATTTAGCAGGAGAAGGTAGGATTTTGCAAGGGTTTTTAAAGCATTCTTGAAAGCGGCTCTTAATGGATGACCATAATGGCCCTCAGGACAGTATTGTTCCTGTACTGTTGAACATAGTATTTGTTCTTGATCTGTATTAATCATAGCTAGAAACTAAAGATTTCCTCAGGAAGACTAATCCACTTCACTGACATCATAGCTATGTGGTTTGAGTTCCTGTGGTTTTGTTCCATAGCAAATACTTTATGTTGCACTAAAATGCTCTGGAGCTTGTTACAGCTGGATGCGTTCTCAGAATGCTGCATTCAGTGTAAAGGGAACAGCATCTTTGATATTACTTTGTGCAATGGTAAGAGTGTTTCAATGCGTCATGTCACTGGGAACATCCCGAGTGTTCAATGCGATTTACCTTATATTATGGTTTTAATATCAGTAGTGTATCAGAGCAGACTGAGGAAGGGTTGCTCTGTTACTTCTGCTCCTAATTGCTGTCCCTCAAATTCTGCATATGTTTGTGTGCTTTTTAGTGGAATTGTGAGTGATCACTGGTATCTTTGGATCTAGTTGTGTCCCCACCCTGAAAACCATGCTATGGACACTTGGTGCAGAAGGGCCCACAGACTGTCTGCTCCATCCATTCATGCTCAGCACAAAATAATTCCAGTCTTCCTCGCTGAATTTTAGTAAGCTAGTAAAAGACCACAAGTCACATCTGCAATGTTTCAAAAGAGAAGATAGATCATAAGCATCACTAAAGCCTTATACTCCTTTTTCAGAGGGAAAAAAAAACAAACCAAATAAACCAAAAAAAGCCATTAAGTAGACCTTCCTTAATGTTACACAGAGAATCCTACAATAGTTTTGCTTATTATGTCTCCAGATTAATTTGTGATCTCTAGTCTAGCTTTCAGTAGATTTATTGGATACATGAAGAAGGCACACCAAATGGGCATCACAGGAATTTTAACATCAGTAACACTAGTGCTCCCTATCTCACAACCTGCTCCTACCCACACCTGTTCTCTGGATACTCACATGGAGGTTCAGCATCCCTTTGCAGAAGTCAGGTCATGCATAAAGAGAGAAACAAACTTTTTGGATCCCTGCAGGTTAAGCACAGGAGTAGTACAGTGTGATTATGATGCAAACAGACAGGATCAATAAGCTATTTCCTTCATAAAACTGAAGAGACCTTCCATAGAATCGTTAGGGTTGGAAAGGACCTTAAGATCATGCAGTTCCAACCCCCCTGCCATGGGCAGGGACACCTCACACTAAACCATCTCACCCAAGGCTTCACCCAGCCTGGCCTAGAACACCTCCAGGGATGGAGCATTCACAGCTTCCCTGAGCAACCCCTTCCAGTGCCTCACCACCCTCACAGGAAAGAATTTCTTCCTTATATCCAATCTGAACTTCCCCTATTTAAATTTTAACCCGTTACCCCTTGTCCTGTCACTACAGTCCCTAATGAAGAGTCCCTCCCCAGCATCCCTATAGGCCCCCTTCAGATACTGGAAGGCTGCTATGAGGTTTCCACGCAGCCTTCTCTTCTCCCGGCTGAACAGCCCCAACTTTCTCAGCCTGTCTTCATTCAGGAGGTGCTCCAGTCCCCTGATCATCCTTGTGGCCCTTCTCTGGACTTGTTCCAGATATATCTTAAGAATCAGGTGCCATGTCCTCCTTGCCCACACATCTCTAGCAGATGCCTGCACAGACACATCTGCACCTAACACTTTTTTGTGTCTGTCCTAGTCCATGTGGACTCACATCATTCATCCCTATGACAGTATATCTGGGTATATCCATCCACTGCGTGACTATATGAACCTCTCACCCCTTTGTTGCATGCCCCTCCTATAAAACACACAGCTGTGAGAACATTTCCTGTCCTGCCACTCCAGAGACCTGATCTCCCAGTCCACTGTTGCTTATGATGACTCCTTAGACTTCGGTCACACTGCAAAGAGCAGATTCCTCTACTGCATAAATGATGTCTTCCAGGTAATTGAATGAAACAGCCAGCATAGCCTCATGGGCCACGACCATGTCCCACTTTCTCATTTGGTCTACGAGCTCTGTCAGTGTGATCTTGTGAGCTGTATCCATCACAGGCCCTCCTTGCTCCTCAGTGTAAAACCTGCTTTTAGAAACAAGTCCCAATGAAATGAGCTGAGATGCTTTAGATAGCTGTTTGTGTAAGGAAACTTGCAACCAGGTAGGACTTTTTCATTTCAGCTGCTTGGTTTGCTTTACACTTTGGGTGTGAAAGACAGTGGTTTGCACATGAACACACCTGTGTCCTCTGTGCCAGGGTAAGAGCTACCATCCTACTTGGGATTATCACAGCTGGTGTGAATTGAAGAGAAGCCAGGAAATCAGCGCGTAAGTCCCCATAGCCCCAGCTCCCCATAGACAAAAATGGCTGGGCCAAGGCTGCTATCCGCTTTGTGCTTCTTTTTCTTCTGATGTAGAGGTATGAAGTCCCATTCTCTTTGTTGGGTAAAAGCTGCTGGGTTCTCCTGGAAATCAGGTTACAACCACTGTGTGAGTCAGCTTCCAGGTATGTTTGTCAGGACTACTGAACCTTGCTTGTGTGTCCCAAGGTGAGGTTTAATCCATTAATGTTTGTGAAAATCTATGTAAATGATCTGTATCATGCTGATAGGTCAAGTACTGCGTTGCTCACTGGCTGCTCCTCCCGACAGTTTAATATATATGCCAAGCAATGTCTATGCTTTCAGACGATGTTTGCTGATGTAGTTTGACTGGCTTAACCCTCTCAGGATTTGGCCTCACTTTTTCTAGCTTACTGATTGGGTGATACAGCACAAATATGTAAGGCTGCTGCTTTTTCTCGTAACGTAGAAAACAATAACTTTATTAACTTGTGCAGCACCATGAGCTCAAAAGAAACCTCTTGGATCTGTTATAGCACATGTGCAATTCAGGCCATGAAGGACACATGCAAAGCAGTGAGGTTGGACAGAGGGCAGTGTTCTGCTTCGCTGTGAGCAGGAGGCAGCCTCAGAAGCTGCTTCTGCAAAACTGCTGGCAGGATTTGGCCCTGCTGCACCACAGGAGCTGCAGGTGCTCAGAACAGCTGGGAGGCTCAGCATGAGGCCCTCCAAGAACCCTACCTAAGAGAAGGGTGTGCTTGAAATTTGGGATCATTTTTGCCCTGTGCTTATCACATAGATTATTATCTATGCTATTATCAGTTATTGCTATCAGGGCCTGACACTGGTATATACTGTACAAACGGTAAGAGAAGCAGTCGCTTCTAGAGAATTAAATTCTAGGTGAATGCAACTTCCATAACTAACTCTGCAAGCACACAGAACAACAAAGGTGTCCAAAAGGTAATTAGTTTCACTGTCTGCTTTACCACATACCTGGTCCCAGTTATCAGCATTACTTGTGGATTTTTATGTTGATTTTTGGATTGAATGATTAATACATTCATTATCTTTAATGCTTTTTGCAGTGATGATCATTTGCCACTGATCTTTCTTCATGCCTCCATAGGTGTATCTATATTTATCCTTAAATACCTAAGCTAGAAAGCAATGCTGCAGCATGAGGCAGGGGCTGTTATTGCCACAAGATGTTACTAAATGAGAATAAGACAGCCAAAAGTAAGAGACTTTCTGTGAATCTTCATTGTTACATGGACCTCTTCTTTGAGGCTACTGGAGGTGATAACTTACTATGTGGGCCATTTTCAGAAACTTACGCAGTGATACAGGGTCAGAACATATGCCAGCAATTTGGGAGACAAAATTATGAAAAAATATTTTTTGTTTCTGTCCCTATTGCTTTTCTGGGCAACTTTTGCTTTCAAAGCCTAATCCAGAACCTGGTGGACTCGGCAAGAATTGTGCCCCTGATTTCTTCCACAGCTGGATCACACCACCAGCTGGTTTCTTCACCACCACCAGTACAAGCTGCTGCGGTATAAGATACAGAGTGGCTTTGCACTTTATTTCTTTAGCTGAAATTTTCTTTACATTCTTCTGCTTCAGACATTTATCTGTCACATACGTAGGCTTCAGCAAACATACAGGGCATATCTATCTCTGTGTCTCTGCACAATGCCTTTGCATGCAGATCTCCACTGGTATTACCAGAGCTGCTTCACAGCTGAACTGACTAAGCACATCTTGTTTAGTTTCACTTAAACAGCCTGTTTGTCAGCCACAAAAATCTGTGAAAATGATTGACAATGAAAGGACTAATTTCTTATTCCACCGCATAAAAATAACTGTGTATCTCTATTTAGGGTGTTTATTTACACTTGTACTAAACAACCTGTGTAAATGTACCCAGCTGTCATAGATCTAGCCAGATTAAGCAACAGGCAGAGGGAAGTGTGGGCTTCGGGGTACATAGAATCACAGAATAGTTAGGGTTGGAAAGGACCTTAAGATCATCTAGTTCCAGCTCCCTGCTAAGGCCAGGGATACCTCACTAAACCATACCACCCAAGGCTCTGTCCAACCTAGCCTTCAACACCGCCATGGATGGAGCATTCACAACTTCCCTGGGCAACCCATTCCAGTGCCTCACCACCCCCACAGTAAAGAACTTCCTCCTTATATCCAATCTAAACTTCCCCTGTTTAAGTTTTAACCTGTTAACCCCTTGTCCTATCACTACAGTCCCTGATGAAGAATCCATCCCCAGCATCCTTATAGGCTCCCTTCAGATACTGGAAGGCTGCTAGCAGGACTGTGGCTGTGCTTTCAGGTAGCTGTTCCCTTTATGGGGTGCAGGCCCTCATATTTTCCAGGAGACTTCTGCTTCCAGATGGCTATGTTGGAGAAACCTTGGGCACCGTTATGTGTGCAGCAGTCCTGTCTGCAACAGAGTTACAGCTGATGTCAGTTATAAATGACTGGAACAGAAGGGAACTGTTTTTTGGGAGTTTTTCAATACCTTGTTTACCGTGCTGTTAAAAAAATAATGTGTAAAATTATAACAAAATAATGAAGACCAAACATCTGTAAATCTTCCTTTGATGAGATGCCTAGTAATAACCTAGTGTTTACAGTTTTGACAGCAAAATGACACGGGAAAAAATGCAAAATAATCATTTGCAAGAAGTCAGGAATGAGAAAACAGGAAGAAGATAACAGAGACTTGTGCTAACAGAGGGATTATGGCTCTTGAGAGAGGGAAATACACCATCTATAAAGAGCAGTCATTTTTGCAAATCTCTGCCTTTCTGCTTAGCAATTACCACCTGGCAACAGTGAGGGAAAGGCAGCCCATGTAGTGCTTTGACAGGGTGGAAATCCTGTGCTTTAACAAAATGTTTGGTAGCTCTGCACAGCATCTTCCCAGCAGCACATACCTGAGGAGAGAGTCCTCATGAGCAGGGAGGAGGAGATACAGTTTCTCAGAGCCAGGACTGCTTGTGCTAACCAGCTTCCCACCTGCAACGGGTGTCTTTGTGCTCCTGTAGGTGCCCCTTGGTACCCCAGAGGCCATAAGTCCCCAGTCGGTGCTTTGGCCACTCAGCCATCCTTCCTGTGACAGACAGCAGTGTACAGCAAAAATGTTATTGCAAGTGTGGTGTGGAAGAGTTTGTTCCTAACTGGTTATGAAGGATATGGAAAGTGGCACAGACACTGTGCTGGTAGAGCGTGGTGTACATGCAGGTGTCTATGAGAAAGCCGTTCTGTCCTTTATTTGCAAATACCTGTGTGTGGTGGAGTGCTGTGTATTTGTAAGTCATACACATTTTCTTCTCAGTAATGCTTACTTTAGCCCCAGGGAGAGTGCAGAAATTGTAGCTGTGACCAGAACAGATGACTTTGTAGGAGGAGGTAGGTGACCCAGCCTCACTGGCAGATTTTTGTGAAGGGTTTCCCAAGGCCAGCCTGCAGCAGCGCATCATTATAGATATGCTTTTGACATTTGTAGTCCAAGAAGCAGCAGTACTCAAAGTAAAACACTGCCAGTGGCTTTCCATAAAAAGCCTGATTCTTGGATTATTTGTGGGGGTTTGAATGCAACTGTGTTGTACAACCGTAAACTTTGGCTTGAAAGGCCTCCACCAGCCTACATTTGTTTTCCTTTCCCCTCTGAGCACAGTGAGCTGCAGCAGTGATAGTTCGCTCTGCAAGCTACCTGCAAGCACTGCTGGCCAATGAGCAGCTCCTACTATGGCTTGCACCCTCCAAGCAAGCTTTGGTGAAGAAAACTAGAGAAAGGAAGAAGGAATTGGGAACAACTGTAATAAATACAGTTTATTACAGTTTTTTTATTATTTTTATTATTAAATACAGGGAAGACAGACTCGGGAGTCCTCTGAATGTTTTCTTTCAGAAATAAGCCAAAAATGCATCCTGGCCAAACCTTAGCTTCCTGAAAATTTGACAGAATTAATTTCTTCTCTGTAATATAGACTATCCTTTTGGAAAAATAACTGGAGTTTTACTAACCCATGCAGAATAGATTGTCCAGTTTTCCTATGACTGCTGCCATAAGTCCTAGCCTAATTATAGGTATGAAGTGTAGGCAAGTGTAATTATGATGCAGACAGATTTATGTGTCCCCTGACAGGTTTTCAAATAACAAAAGAATATAAATATTGGATGTATGGTAAGAAAATATCCATTATTAAAATCAATCCACAAGCTTGTACCATAAAAAAAGCTCTCTTCTTTAACACAGCTGTCAGCCCCACTGAGATTTTAAATTGGAGTTTGTCTAGTGTAACTCTCTATTTAAAAAGAAAAATCAGAAGTATTAAACTTTTATCTTAGGTTTTTAAAATACAGGAAGCTAATATAATTGCTGTACCAATACAGAGTTATGAGCTTTTTAGGTTCTTCAGTTTTTTGCAAAGAATGGTTACATCTTTTGATTCATGTAGTAAGTCTTTTCCCTGTATAAATTTGCCATATACTTTCTCTTCAGGAAAAAAAAGTCCCAACAACTCCATCCCTTCCCCTTCTCTGGACCATTTGATGTGGCTTTTTGGTTTGTAACTTTCACTTGAGAGTTGGCTGTATTTCAGTTACTAGTCACTGCGCAGACTTTCTGTGTGAATTAGTGGAGTGTACGTGGCATCTGGAGATCTAAGGAATTGAAAAGTATGGTTCAAATGTCAGACTACAACTTGAAAGGTTTCTGGAGATGCGGAGCCAGGTCTGTGGCCTGACTGAGGCAGTGCCCATGCTAAACTCAACAGAAAAAGCCACTGGGTAACAAAATTATGTCCCCTGTTGGACCCGTGGCATGTGCAACATGGCTTCCAGTTTCAGCATAAAAAAAAGTAGTTTACAGGGTGACACAAATTCCCAAGCCTGTGAGAACAAGGGCTGGATATGTTACCTCTGTCAGTGGTGCTTAAGAGAAACTAAGAACTGGTAAGATAAGCAGAGTGGAACTTAGCTTGTGTTCTGAAGTTAGACAGGCTTGTCTGAATGCAGATAACCACCTGGGAAGTCTCTGGAGAAAAATTATTTCAAACAAAGGGAAATCTTTGAAAGGTTGCTTTTGTATCAAGAAGAAATGGAGAGGAATTTAGTGTAAAGATTTTTTTCTGAGCTGTGCACATTTTATCATTTTATTTTGTTTTTTTTTTTTTCCGCTTCTTGGAGTCTGTAAAGCCACAGATCAATTGCTAGTGTTTAGTGACCTCCTGCCCAAGAGTGTAGGGCCTGCGTGTGGGTCTTCTTTGGCTGGCACTTGTACACTGCAAGATCTAAGATGACACTGACCCTTGCAGCCTTATGGGGATAATATTTTCAGCAGGATTAATTGTTCTTGAATGTTTTCTTCAATGTACTGTGTTACGTGGCCAAACAGTTTTTTCATCATTTAGAGCGTATGTCCTACATTTCCTCTCTGCTGTTTTTGTTGCATGGTTTTGATTGTAGCTAACAGCAAAGGTCAAAAGACATTTTAGTGTTTCTATTTCTATGTTTCTGTTAGGCTGAATTAAATTGTTGGTGCTGCAAAGTGACTTGTTAAAAAGCCTATGCTGCAGGACTTGAACCAGTATAAACTGAAGCTAAGCTACAGTTTAAATAAGATGGTCCAGAGAGACAATGTGGTCCAAAGAAAAGGGTACTGATCTGGAAACATGAGCAAAAGAGTTTGGTTCTCTGGAGCTTCAGTGTGCAGCTTCATGAATTTAGGTAAAGTTTTTCATCTTGCTCTGCTTCAGGTTTTGTGGATGGGTGGTAGAGCGACACTTTTAAAGCACTTTGCACAGTCAGTTTTTCATTCAAGTAGTCTTATTCCTGTCACATCTAACATTAATCAGTACAACTGCCTGTTGAATTTACATTACAGATAGGTTCTGAAGTCGTAATATCTAGGAATGCTGTGGTATCACTGAATGGATTAATTGTGTTTACCAGTGTCTGTGAGTATTTGCTAGAAATTATCATTTCTCAGTCCAAAATTAAACCAGCACTAAGTTTGCCCATCAAGCCACCTTCTATTTCTTTCCTACATAGTAAAGCAAATCCAGAAGTTTTCTTAGAGTATGAACAATTCCAATCAGAAGTTTCAAGTTAACCTAAACTAATACTTTGTTCGGTCTTTTAAATTACCCCTCAAATGACCTTCGGAGAAGTTTGGCCCAAGTGTCTTTTTATTTTATTTTTTTCAATCCCATCTATATGACTCATGCAGGATCTTCATTATTTTTTCCTATCTACTAGAATTCCCTTAAAAGCCATGAACTGGCAATACCTGAATATCTCTGGTATGTTAGGGTTTATTTCCCCATTTTGCTTTGTGAGGAAAGGCCTTCCTCTCACCTGAGCTTGAAGAGCATTGTTCTACTGCAGGGCTGCATCTTTTGTGGGTTTTAGATGTTCCATGGCCACAAGCTTGCTTTATTTTTCCTGGTATGCTCATTTTCCCCAGTGTTCTCACCCTAGCACCCCTTGATGTTGATGTTGCCTTACAGCATGAAAGGGGAAGAAATGGGTAAATATCTCCATAGAGGACCATTTGGCTTTAAAAATACACATAGAGCTAAATGGATGGTTTACAAATGTGAGCAAGGTGTCTTAGCAGTCTTACAGGGATGGAGTCACAGCTGCTAGAATAAAAAACAGGTCTGTGTGAACATGCAGAATATCTTGGGCAACACTTCACTACAGATAAACACTTTGAAAGTTAAGTTGAAATAAACATTATCAACCTACTGTTTCTAGGCGTATTGCTATTCATTTATTTAACACACCCGTTCAATGGGACTGAATAATCTCCCTGTGTGTTACAAGGACTCTGGGACTTTTCCAATGACCAATTTCAAATAATCCAGACACTGTGAATATTTTATTTATTATTATCAGCATCTTTATTGCAAGCAATATTTTTTAAGAATTATTTATGTGTTAAAAAAAAAAAAAATCAAGGTTAAATTTGGCTGTCTGTTCTGGGGGCATAAATCCAGATTAACTTTCCTTTTAACAGTAACTTTACTCAAGGTTTTGTGAACAGAATTTGGCTTGGTGTCTGCTGAAGAAAAATGTAGCAAAATATACACTCCTTTCTCTAAATCCTGAAGAAATGTTACCCATACGCTACTGAACAGTCTTAATATAAGAAAGCAGTGGAATATTTTCAGTTTTGTGGCTACGTTCTTGGTCTTACTCATATTTTATATAGGCATTGTTTTAAATTACTGGCACTACATAAGAGTATGTCAAGATGCATCGTATAAACAGATGCAATTTACCATGACCTTGAGGCAGCATGACGTGTATGTTGTATTACATTAGTTATCAAAATATGTTCTTATATAGTATGGTACCCACTGTACTAGATAGAGAAAGAGATAGAACATGGGTTGTTGGGCATACTGTACAGAGTTGGAAGACATATGCAAGTAATATCTGCATATCTATAGCCACATCATTAGTATCTTTTAAAAGAGACTAGTAATAAGCAATAGGAGAAAAAATAAATCCAAAAGGCTTTGCTTCATTGTCAAGGTGACATTCTTTGCTGAAAAACTGAAAACTCTGAACATCAGGAAATATGTAACTGGGAGAGTTACTGAGCACTGGAACAGGTTGCACAGGGAGCTTGTGAAGTCTCCCTCCCTGGAGATAGTGAAAAGCTGTCTGGACATGGTTTGGGCAACTGGCTCTAGGTGACCCTAGTTGAGCAAGAGGGTTAGACCAGTTGACCTCCAGAAGTCCCTTCCAACCTCAAAGAGTCTGTGATTCTGTGATATCCAGTGCTTCAGCAAGCACTTGTATAGCAATTTGACAGTGCACGGGAGTTAGGAAATCCAGTTCGTCCCATGTTCCTTTCTTCACTGCCCATCCTCATGGCCTTGCCAGACCATTTGATGAGTTAATCATGACTTTTCCCCATATGCCACTCCTCTGCTGTGCCACAGAGCTCTACCCTGAGCCCTGAAGGAATGCGTCACCTCACTTTCATGTTTTTCCAGATACGTTACTCCATGCAAAACCAGCTTGTTTCCCCTGGAGCATGGGACCTGCACAGTTGATCGGGCACTTTTCCCCATGCTGTGCATGCTCTGAGCACAAGCTAGAGGGGCAGCTGCTCCCATGGATCAAGGGCCTGTCTCTCCTGGCTGTGCCCTGTTTGTGCAAATTAACCTTCAGCAGCTCACTTCAACCTTCTGTTCTTCCCCACTCCCCTTCCCATGCTTCGTACTGTTATAATTTTGTAAGCTGCTTGGTCTAGGTATCATTCTGACTAACTGTGTCTGGTTTCTAGCCCAGACGTCAGCAGGGGTTGCCGCATGCTGCTGCAATATAAATGACTAATGATGATGATAAAAGGTGTGGGAGTTGGTTGCCTGGAGTGTTATCCTACTTTGATAACTTTGTTTTAGAAACTAGCTTCTTCCTCAAATTATCTGTTATTTTATCTCATTAGGTCTAATATTCTAAAAGTGGCAAGGGATTTTTGGATGACTTTTTTGGAGTGTTCATTTTAGGACTTTGAAAGAGGCTTTGAAATTGTCAGAGGTTGGATGGTGTTGCTGTGACAGTGCCAGTAGCCTTCAGCATGAATTGCAGGTTATTGGCACTTTCAAAGAGTCAGCTGCAACTGTGTCCTAACAGATGTGTTTGATAAGGAAGTGCTCTATTTTTAAATTTGGGCTGAAATAGGTAATAATTACGAACAAAACAGTATGTGAAAAGAGCATTATCAAGGTTGCACAGCTCAGCACTTGGAGTTAAGAAATGCTGCAAGTAAAACTGTCTCTGCTCCGTTAATTTGCAACTGTGCACAGGTGCATCAGTCACAGACTATTTTTGCCCAGGATCTGAGTCTCGCTTGGTGCACATAATAGATGGCACAGAAAATCAATTCTTGATTTTCTTTTCACTGTTCAATGCATAGCTCAGTCTGCTGCAAAGGCAAAATTATTTCCCACTGAGACATTCCAGGCTGTTCCACTGTGCAGGTCCTTGCCACATGCTAACACTGACTAATTTCCATTTACAGAACCTTAATAGCAACTCTGGGTATCATTGCTACCTAGTACAGCTGGTAACCTAAGGCAAAAACCAGTAAGATTACAAGTATCCATAAATGTAGATGCCTGATGTAATTTTTTGGAGAACCAGACAGTACATACTCCAGCTCCCAGTGACTTCCATTACAATGGCTAGTACTCACCACTTTCAAATATTCAAGCCTCCATGTTTAAGGCTCCCAGAAATACAGAACAGGGAAACAGCTTTGAAAAGTGTGGTATGAATGTGTTGTCCTGTTCCAAGACTGCTGCTTGTTTTTCCAGACTCTCCTGTGTCGTGGTTTAAACCCAGTCAGGTAATTCGTTCGCTCACTTCCCCCCCTTTCTTGCCCTCCCCCTGCTCTCGGAGGGACGGAGAGGAGAATCGAAAAGAATGCAACTCCCACGGGTTGAGATAAGAACAGTTTAGTAACTAAGGTATAACACAAATCACTACTGCTACCACCAGTGATAATAATGATAAAGGAAATAACAAGGGAAGAGAATACAACACCTCAGCACCAGCCGACCGATAACTTGCCCCCCCTCAGCCCGACCAAGCACCGACCGATACCTCCTCCAACCCTGCAGTCCCCCAGCCCTTCCGGCTAACTCCCAGTTACCTCCTGGGCATGACGTGCTGTGGTATGGAATACCTCTTTGGTCAGTTTGGGTCAGGTGTCCTGTCTCTGCTTCCTCCTGGCTTCCCCTCCTCCCTGGCAGAGCATGAGGCTCACAAAGTCCTTGGCCAAACCAAAACACCTCTATCAGTTCTGCTCCCAGGCCGAAAGTCAAAACACTGCACTACACCAACTACCAAGAAGGAGAAAAATGACTGCTACCGCTGAAACCAGGACATCCTGCCACCTTTTAAATGCTGAAAAAAAGAAATTATATATATA